GTTTGACAACTTTGCCCCAAAATAAAGTTTAATAAGCGTCTCTCCCGACCGGTTATACTTCAATGGTTATACTTCATGCACAGTAGAAGGAGATTGGCTGAAATATGTTTCCTGCTTTGGCTGTTAAAAGCAGTAATTGGTTTTCTAGCGGGAGGGGCGGGATAACCGCCATCTTTGCCGTTACGGGCTTTCCCCATAGAGTTGTATTGAGGATGTGATTGGGTGGCGTGTCTCCTCTATAAAACATCTCTGGGGTGGAGCAGCTCTCATATGTAGAAATCTGGCCTAGTTTATTTGTGAATCACAACCACGACAATCTAGAGTTGAGACCGTACCCGTCAAAACTCCTGTTTTCCCCCCCGGATTCTCCCGTTCTATCCCGCTGTCCTCCCATGTACGTATTTTCCCGTAAAAGTCACATATTTTTAAAGGAGACCTATTGTGCTTTTCCACATTTTATGACTTTTCTACAATGTTTTAATGTTGGATGTTCATGTTAAACATGCCACAAAGGGCTCCGTTATACGTAACACGGAGCCAGACGGAGCCGGTGCTCCACATAGGGACATGTGTTCCCATAGCAACGGCCCAGCAACGGCTCAGTCTGCCTGTCCCGCCCAGCGACAACAACAGCCTGCTTCAGGTCTTGGCCAATCAGAAGAGAGAGGGGGGCCTTAAAGAGACAGGAGCACCTACAGCTTGTTTCAGACAGAGGCTGAAATGAAGGCCTACATGAAGAGACAGTATAAGACAGAAAATACGTTTTTTGAACTTTGAATCATGCAAAGCTGCCATATAGGAGTCACAGAACAACAATTTAGGTCTGGAAAAGCAGAATAATGGGTCTCTTTAAACTTTCTAAAAATAAAAATAAAACCCGCTGGGGGGGTATTTCACATGTTTGCTACGTTCCCCTCCGGTAAAGCAGATAGCAGTTTGTAGAACATTAGTTGTAACAGTGAAGGGAAGTCAACAGCACCTGCGATTAAACAATTAAACAAGTAACAGAATCATGATCCATATTTTATCAGCTCTGCCTACAGTTTGATCTAAAGCCTCCCTCCGCTGCTTGTTTGGGTGGCTGATTTCCAGGCTGATCAACACCCCCCAGTGAGCAACAGACTTAAAAACTGCGTTAACGTGCGATAAAGTAATTATCGACGTTAATTAATGCCTTAATAACGCGTTAACGTGCCCAGCCCTATTCTGTATATGGTTTGCAATCAAAAAAGTTTGGCCTCTCCTGGTTTAGAGTCTCTGTCTCTACGTCGCATTTGAAAGTGACGATGCCGTCGACCAATCAACGGACTGCAGTGTTTCTAGCTGCACCTTTAAGTCAGCGTGAAGAACCAGAACAGAGGGGTGCCGACAGAATGGCATGGTTCTGTTGGTACCACCCTCCACTTCTGCCAGTGGAGCACTCAGCAGGATGAAATGACACAGAACAGACTTGACAAACATCACATGGAGCTATATGAAGGCGTCACGCCCACCTCCACCTCTCTCCATTTCAGACATGTGACACCACCACCAGGTGTAAATATAGGATTCATGTTGGCCACCAAATATAGCCCATGTTACAGCAGCGGTGGGCAAATTCTCTGGGCTTTTTAAAGGTGGAAAAAGATCCAACAAACGGGGAACAACGTGCTGAATTACCTCTGAAGACTAACTGTCCAGAAAGAGGCTTCTGTGCTGCCGCTAACAGCCTCATACCTGATTTGCATGTCTGCTCATAACCACAGTAACATCAGCGGACATTCAAATGCTTCAGGAGGGCGAACACAGGACGTCAGCTGTGGACGGTTTTCGTCTCCACGCTCCTCAAAACAGTTGATAAGGCCCGTCACTGTGTGCCCAAGCAAATCCAGTGATGTAGCGGATGTACGAGGAAAAGATGCCGACGATATTCGGACGCCATTAAACACAGTGAAGCATTAATTTATGGTGAAAGAGTAAAGATAAACCTCAAACTGGGGATGCAAATTTCAAGGAACTTAATTGGCAACCAAAACTCAAAATGACAAAACACATCGGACGTGGCCTGAAATTACTGCCAAATCTACTGAGAAAATTGAGCAATGAACTAAATAAACATAATTTAAATCATAATAACTGACTGAAAATGAATCAACAACTAATACGGCATAATCAGGCAACACTTCTTAGTTCCAGTTTTTCTAGCATTTTACAGTCAATTCCATCCATCATCAACCGCTTATCCTGCGTACAGCGTCAGTCAATTCATCAAAAAAATAATCGGCAGATTAATCAACAAATAAAAATTGTTGTTGCACTTGAAAATAAAATAAATAATGGCGTCACTTAAAATGATGGTGCTCTGACCTTTAGACAAGTTGAAACACTTAATCGAGTGTCAAAACATTTGTTAACTGATTTTCTGATATTCAGTCTGCAGGTTTTATTGATTTTAACTCAGCTACATGATGCAGGTGAGTCGAGCACCATGTCATGTTGGTCCACATGCTGAGAACATCTGCTCGGGTAGAACAGATTAAAGAACAAATAATATTGTCTCTGACTTTACAACTCAGCGAAACTTAAACTCCTCCAGCAGTAAATCAGTTCTCGACCTTATCTGAACGTTAGCTCTGTCAGCGTTAGCGGTGTACGGAAGAGGATTAGGGCCACATGTGAAAAACTTATCTAATGTCAATCACCTTGTAGCCCCGCCCTAAAGCCTCCCCTGCTTCCTGGTCTCTGTTCCTCTAAACGGGACCATAATTTACTAAATGAACATCATGCCGTGATGAAGAAGACTTGAAACTAGCGACTGAGACCATAAACTCATCAGGAAAGTGTTTACTGAGGGAATAAATCAGCTGAGAAGTAGAAACATTTTCTCATAGACTTCTATACAATCACACTTCTTTCTGCAGCTGCTGGAGTCGCCCCCTGCTGGCCGCTGGGGAGGACGCAGGTTTAAATGTGCTTCACTGTTCAGACCCGGAGGTTCCTGCTTGGTTGAAGCTGGTAGTTTAACATTAGCGGGTGAGTTGTTGCAGGAAGACGTCTATGGAAACGTGAGACAGAGGTGGAGAGAGGAGTTTGTTTTATTGGAGCAAAGTTAGGAAATGACGTCTTGCTAGCAGCTCCTCTACGTTCACAACAAACTCCTCTCCTCTGATTCCACCGCCGTCTTCGAGCAACAACTCGCCTCTCACGAGATTTCAGAGCGAGACTTCAGTTTCCTGTTAACAACAAAGGGGGTCACCTGGAGTCCCTAAAAGGACAGGAAGGAATACGGTTGCCGGCTGAAACATCTACTGCACATATTCAAAACTTTCTGCACCTACGAGTTATTTCAATAACAATATGTGGAAATATGGCCGAGGTTTAAAAATGCAAAAATTATCGTTTAATATTATTTAATAAATTATTAACAGCATTAACTGAGGATCAATAAGACATTTACACACATGTATGAATCTCAGCTGAGGTGATGAAACAGCAAACAAACTGCAGGAAGTGAATCTGAGTCGTATCGTTGATGCTGGTGGCCCAAATTGTCCAATCAGGGACATCCAATAAAGCCAATGAACGTGCTGGTGGGATGTGAAGCAGCCATAATGATCGATCTGACTGGATCAATAGCAAAACACTGTGTCCCCACAACAGGCCTGATCCACAGTCAGTGCTGATCCATGCAACCATCTAATAAAGCTTAATTATTAATAAAGTGTAGGCACAATATTTAAATGCTTCTTTAATAATGAGCCAGTGTGGCTTTTTCAAAACAAACTCCAGTCTCTGATGAAGACCATGAGCTGCTGCAGAATGCTCCTGAAAAAAGCCAGTAAGTGGACTTTAAGTTAAGATTAAGAAAAACACAACAAAGTTCAATTGAAATGAATAAACCCATTCAAACGTTCCCTGATGGTGTTCACATGTTGGACTGCAAATAATGGCTATTTTTATTATTTGATTAATTCATCCTTTTAGTGTGTAAAGTGACAGAAAATAGTAAAATCCTGCGTGACAGTTTTAAAAGCAGAAAAGCAGCAAAACCTTAAAGAAAGATGAATTAATCGATTAATCATTTCAGCCCTGATCTTGGCTTATTTTACAGAAGTCTTTCATTTGTTAAAAGTTAAACTAAAAAATACAGAATACATCTTGGAAGGTTGCTGCAAATTAAATGTTTGTAAAATGTGTTGCGCCCTCATTTTTATATCCTAATCAGAAATACTTTATTGATCCGAGGGGAGCGGAAATCTGTTTGGTTACAGTCGCTCACGTTGCTAAACAAGTTATAAATAAAATAATTAATAATATTATAAAAAGAAAACAAACATTTTAAATAAAAGTGTGAAATATCTATGTGACTGAAGTGGGATGAACTAATAATAGTACTGATAATGTTGAGAGCTGGAGTGGAGTTAAATCTGTTCAGATCCATAATTTAAAATACAATATTGATCAAGTATTGCCAGAATATTGCAAATTAACAAAAAAATTAATATATTCTATTCAACAGAATATTTATTTGTACATTTTACATGTATACATGTGTATTTTACATGCATATTTCCACACCCCTTATTTTTAGATTTATATCAGTAGATATTTCAAATCTTTGGCACAAAATGTCTTTCTGGGTTAATTAATTAACTTATTTTGACAGACTGATAAGAAAAATGTTTTTCACAGGGCCAATACTTCAACAATCTGCAATATTCTGTTTTATTCTGTCCCATTTTTTAAGGATTTAAATCCATTCCAGCTCCCAACATTATCAACATACTTATTCATTAGACTTCTGTCACATGCTTATTTCCACACCCCTTATTTTTAGATTTATATCAGTAGATATTTCTAATTTATTAGAAGTATCTACTTGCAATATATATATATATATATATATATATATATATATATATATATATATATATATATATATATATATATATATATATATATATATATATATATATATATATATATTTTAACTGATTGAAAACTGAATGGATCGATCTCACCTGAACCTGTGAGTCCTGGATCTTCTCGGCGACCGGGACGACCTCCACAGCCGGAGCAGGAGTCTCTGTTCGCGGGACTCCCAGAGCTCTGGACGGGGGGACGTCGTCTCCGTAGCCGACTTTGGGCTTCTTCTTCCCGGCAGAGGCGGCGGCGGAGTCGGCCTTCTTGCTCAGGAGTGACGAAGCGAAATAAATGGCAACGACGGTGAAAAGGATCGCGGGGATGATGACGGTCGGGTCCAGATCCATGATGGAGGACTTAATTTCACTTTTAATTCAATGTTAGAATTTTAAAGTGTGTTTTCAGGAGCGTGCGCACGCACGTGTGTGTGTGTTTATCAGGCTGCAGTCACACACACACTGAGCTGCTCTCATCCCAACAGCTGACTGCTGAGGGGACATCACACTTCCGGATTACTTTCAAAATAAAGGCCTTACAGGATATAAACGTGCTGCCTGAAGTTTTTTTTTTTTTAGGACACAAATGTTTAATCTGGCCAGTGGTGGGAAAGTTACAAGTACTTATACACTTTTTTACTTGTACCTTTTTACTATCCTGTTTTATCTTCTTTGTTTTCTGTGCAACTCTTTTTTAATTGTCCTTAAATGAACGTTGTTGTGCTGAACAAATAAATCTACCTAAATAGAGTCTTTTCATCACAGCTGCACGATAAAAAAACAATTCACCTCATTCGATATCGATCATTATCAGAATAAATGTCAAATTATTATCTCTTTCAGGTTTAAAGCCTGAGTGACAGAGTGAGTTTATTGTGGTTTTAAACTTTTCTTTCTGGTCAGAACAAACCCTTGATGCCAAACAGCGGATCACTTCACAAATCTGAGGCAGAACATTCAAAACTAATGGGGAAAATTAAATAAAATTTGTTTCAGTCCCTGTTTGTCAAAAAATTAAATCTCTTAATGGAAAAATTAAGTGCTGATTTGTTCACATTTCAAATGAATTATATCAAACAAATATTGAACATTTGTTATTGAGGGAAATTATATTGTGATAATTATTATTATTGTTTTAAAGCCCAGCCCTGTCACATCTCAGAGGGAAATATTGTGGAATAACATTAAAAGAAAAACTGATGGTAACTTCTCTTGCAGGTCAACATAGAGCCCAGGTTTTTGTATTTCAGGATTAGAGGATGCAGCAAAGCAAAGGAGGTGTAAGGACAGAATGTGCCGGTACGCTGCTGCAAGTATTCCCCAAAGGTGGGGAGGTGACACAGGATCGTGCAACTGGAGGAGCAAGGCGGTTTGTATGTAACCTCCGTCTATAGGAGCGCTTTGAATTTGTTAAACTGACACTTGATTATGTAATATGAAGAATATAAACACTGACATGGAATAACGAGCAGATTAATTGATAGTTGCAGCTTTAAAAACAGGTCACAAATGCTGCTGACAAATCCCCACCTCGTTTGTTCAAATACAAAATGACACTCCTGGACCATCTTGTGTTTGCAGCGCTGTGTTTCAGCAGCTGCTACAGGCTCAGACATGATGTGCAAATGCTTCTCAGGACCTGTAGGACAAAAAGGATTTATATCTGTCAGAGGAGTCGCTGTGTCCGAAGACGACGACACGTGCAGCGTTCAGACCACGTTCAGACTCTTTAGAGCAGACTGTGTATGTGGATGTTAGCGACATGTTTTATAATGCAGGGGTCAACATCCGATTCTCAGAACGCCATCATCATGCTGCTGTCAAACACTAGTCTTAAGGCCAATGTATACTTCTGCGCCGAGCTCTACGTGTGCGTTGGTGTCTGCGTCGCTCTGCAGTTACTCCACCAAAACACTAGTTGGCTGAACTGGCGAGGTAGAAGGAGAACTAAGCTAGAAATGCGTAGGAGGAAATGTGATGCTACCAAGCCGACCAGTCACAGTTCTTGCGGTCTGCGACGCCGCAACGTGTAGCTGTATTTTTGGGAAGTAGCGTGTGAAGGCCCATTTATACTCCTGCGTAGCCACGCATTTATACTTGTGCGTAGGTGTGTCCGTCATTCTGCAGTTACACCCCCAAACGCTAGTTGGCAGTAGCGCCACAGCGTGCACTGTGTGGCCTTTTGCGGTTTAGTGCTCCGCTAACGGGAATGGGGGGTAAAATTGTAAACGCGCGGCTGGTGTAACGTTTTCAAATGTTACCGACAGCGTGGATCACATTCTGAAAGTGAAACCAGTCATTTTGCTCGGGTAGTGACGGTCAAATATATCGATCCACCGTGTTACAGCCGCTGTTTACCCGCTAGTAAAAGATACTTCAAATCCCGGGCACTTCCTGTCGGCTCGGAGGTCATTGCGAGGCTACCCAGCCGACCAATCACAGAGCTTACGGTCCGCGCAGAAGTATGAACTGGCCTTTAGTGTAATATTATTATTTTAATGTATGCATCGCACCTCGTTTGTGATTAAAATAAAAGACCGATCACACAAACATGTTTTGATTCATAGAAAAGGTTTTTATTGATCAAACAAAGTGAAACTGATCACACGCGGATCTGTCTCCATCCTAAAAGCTCATCCCAGATCAGCGCTCGTGACGCGGGGAGGGAAAACCTTCGAGCAGAGACGGACCGTCACCGAAAGGCACCGCGTGACCGACCTCAGAGACCAGCGCAGCGCCTTCGCACGACTTAAAACAACGGATAAAAACACAGAAGCAGTCGGTGACACTGACGCACCTCGCGGGCCTGCGACAAACGTTTCTTCTTTATAGGCACTTTAATCTAAAGCAACACTCGTCTGGAGAGAAGCTGCACAAAGCTTTTTAACAACGATTCATTATTTAAGTTTGTTCCTTAAAGCAAAATAAGCCAAATGTTTGATGGTTCCAGCTTCTCCAAAGTGACGAGTTTTCCTCAGTTTTAATTCTCAGTCGACTGATTATTTTGGGGTTTTGGACTGTTGGTCGGTCTGCAGAGCAAAAGGTTTTCTGATGCCATCTGGAACAATCGGCAGCAAGGTTGCAACTTATCATAATTATTAATTATTTTCTGGATTGTTTGTTTGTAAAGGTGCTTCAAATGAGTTTTACTGAACTGATTCTAAACTGGACGTTTTTTAACATTTAATAATTATTAAAATATATTCTTCTCTCTGTGTTGAGGTTTTGTGTCTTAAGTTTTTCAGCTGTTTATTTAACCTCCTCTTCAGGTCATAGCTCGACTTCATGCTCTGTGGCTCTCAGCCGGTGGTGTTCAGGTGCTACAGCTCTCTCAGGTTGGGGTTGGAGGTTACTTAATTTTCCTCTCTCCACATTACCTCCCGGGAATAAGAGTACAGGTACTTCTGGTAGTGCAGTTGGGAATCACCAGTCTTGAAAACGTCAGCAAGCTGTACAGAAATGACCGTCACAAGTTCCCAAAAGCGCGAGAGGTCGTCTTCAAACGTCTTGTTTTGTTCGACCAAAAGTCCAAAACACAAAGATATTCAGTTAACTGTCAGAAGATTAAGAAAACCACAAAAACAGCCACATTTGAAAAGCTTGAGACACTTTTTTTTTGTTGCCATGTTTGCTTTTAAAGTTCCTAAAACATCTATTGTTTTAATCAATGATGATATTAACCAGCTGCAGTCTCCATTTGATGCCTCCTCGTCCGACACAAAGCTGTTTATTCAACCAGAACCTGAAGAAACGCTAATATAACTGCAGCAGTGCATTCTGGTCAATGTAGTGCCCTCTACTGTCATTTACTCTAAAAAAAAAACAACACATTTAGAAGCTCACAGCGCCTCGGCTGCAGCACATGGCACGAAGCAGGCACGACATCAAAATGGCAGAAACGTTGGCGACCTCGCTGCTGAAACTTCCTCCTCCTCCACCTGAGAACTCAAACTCTACGGACGCAGTTTGTCCCTCCTGCAACAGTAACACGCCTGTCTGAAATGCCGCTGCCTTTAACTGTTTAATTTCCTTAAGGCCCGTTTACACGTTACAGTTAAATCACCAAAGCAGGCAGAAGAGACGACGCCACTTCCAACTATTTCAGGGGAAAACAACCGACTTGCGGGGTGACTTTTCATTTCGAGGGTCAGGACTCCTAAAGACGGAGCCTCTAGTTTCACAGCAGGACGTGTAAAACCGGCAGGAAACGACAGCGTGCAGGGAAACATTAACACGCTAAGAGGGACGCCGTTAGCTTACAGGCTCACCAACACGCCCTGTGAGGAGTTACTGCGCTGCAAAGCTTTAGTATTTTGTGAGGACACGTGCATGAATTTTGCTGTTCTGGTGCGAGCTCGCCTTTAAGAGGCGACACCGCTGTGAAACGAGAGGCCCCGAGTGTTAGTTTTATATATGCGACTGCACAGAAATGTGGCCGCTAGAGCTGGTTATCCTGTCCAGATCTGGGAACACATTTTAAACACCTTAAACTACACCTTTCACCTCTTCTAACGACCTTTAAGAGCCGTTTCCCAGCAGGGTCACATCAGAAAGCAGCTTTTTAAAGTTCCCAGAGCCGCCCTTCGTCCTCCCCTTCATGTCCTCCCGCTGCAGGAGCTACAGAGACAAACGTATCGATTGGTGTTGAAAAGCACAGTGGTGGCAGGTCTCCGGCTGGCCCACGCACCCCCATCAGATCCTCCTTAACTTGCAACTCGCTTCAACCTAAACTAGACTACAAGCAGCTGTTTCAGTGTTGGTGAGGAGTCGCCGCCGGGAGGTGGGCGGGGGCTGGACGGAGGCGGGAGGTCACCGCGACGAGCTCCTCTCTTTGCTGACGCAGTCGTCCTGGCTGCTGGTGTCCCCGTTGGCCGTCACGCCGCAGGTCCGCCTCTTCTTCCTGCGATGGGACATGGCGTCGCCCTCGGAGCCCGACTCCGCCTGCGAAGAGCGGACAAAGTGCGCAGATGTTGTTACAACACGTTCACACTTGTATCACGTTACAGAGACACCTGTCACCTGTCGGCAGCTCTGACTGGACTGACGAGACTAGCAGCAGAACTTTATGTCCCACCCGCTGCAGGAACACACGACTTTAACCTTTTCATTTGTTTCGGCTCAGCAGAACTTCTCAACGACTCAGAGCTCTCCTGAAGAAGCGAGTCAGTTCTTCCTCACAGGTCGAGAGCAGGTTTAAAGAAAGTTTCCTGTCAGAATGAAGTTTTGGTTGTTTTTTGATTGTGCTCAAATTAAGAAACATTTACCTGCAAATGTTCCCGTTTACAGTCATTTCCTGAACCATTACTGTGTTTGGGAGGGAATTTACGGTGCTGTAAAACATTCGGGTGCACGTAAATTTTGTGGCGCTGAACCCAAATGAAAAATATAGGGATGTCACGCACCAGTGCAACCGATGCCAAGTTAGTGTGGAGGGACCAGACAGATTTTCATTTGAATTAAAGAAGAAAAAAAACAGCTCCATGATCACAATTTCTTGTATATACTTATAAATGGAAGTCAGAAATTAAGATCCACGTGTATGAATCTTTCTTCGTGACCTGGAAGCGATCGTAGGTGCCGCTTACCTGGAAGTCTGGAGTTGTTTATGAGAAGGACTTAAATATGTTTTTGGTCGAATATGCCGGTTTCATAACAAAACACAGAGGTTATGTGATGTCTTGTGGGGGTAAAGCCGCTGCGTCGTGTTCACACTTTGGAACGATAGACATTTTTTCCTCGGGATGCACCGAATGTTCGGACACCGAAATTAATCATCTGAAAATAGCAACAAAAAGCGCTTTCGGTGTTCGGCCTAATAAGTCAAAAGACCAAAGACATTTGACCGAACAATCAAGTTTCTGTCACTCGTCTGTGAGAAGGAGGTTAAGCTAGCCGCACCTACATTTGGAGTGCACACGTATTCTAGCCTTTACAGTAAGTGAAGCGGCCCGGAGCGATCTGACAGGCAGGTTAGAGACTTTATCCTGTCAGTTTGTCTCTTTACAAAGACAAGTGCTGCAGGATTAGAGTCCTGCCTGAACAGAGGCTGTGAAGTCTTCATGTTACGCCGTGCGAGAACCACGTACAACATTATTTATCACACTGGGCCAGACTGGAAATGGACTCATGTAATTTACTTTACCCGGACCCCCCCACCATAGTCTCTCCACATCCTGTGGGAAACACTGAGGAAAAAGCACATTTTGACTGTTTAATTTATGCAGTGGTACAAAAGCCAAAAATGTGAATGTACTTGTTCGTCAAATTTTTAATTACATTAGGTTTCGGCTTCGGACAAGATTTTTCATTTCGGTGCATCCCTAATTGTTTCGGAGCAGGGACTTCTGTCCCGAAAGCCAACTTGAAGTTGTATTTTACTTTCCGATTTCTATCTATAAACACATCAAAGACAATCAGATAACAAAGTTTTTTCTAATATCAAAACAAAAGCAGTTTTACGCTTTTGTTTTTTTCATTTCAAAATCCGCTGGCCGTCAAGTACACGGGTCCTGGAGCCCAGTATTTTGTTTTATTCATGTGTTACCATATTTCTAATACACATTTAATTATCTGTTTAGTTTGTGCCGCACGAGGGGACAACAAATGATAAATTAACTACCTTGATTATTGAGACTTAATGCGTGAGATCCGACAGGCTGTCGACATGATCATTTAGTATAATTGGGCTCGATAGATCCAGTCAGAGTGAGCAGAGAAGTTTAGTTATCTTGTCAGATGTCTGTCCAGTTTTAGATGATCTGTTTGGCTGCACACTCGAACAGGAAGTCGACACCTCTCAGCGGGGAGCCCGGGAGCTTGGTATTATTAGTATGAACGATATTGATACCTCAGTGTGCCCGAGCGTGGTGTGTGTTTTAGCACATACATCAGAGTCGGACGAGCTGGAGGACGACGATGATGAAGAGTCACTGGAGCTGTCCGACGCGATGCCTGTCGACTCCTGCAGGTCCACTTTGTCTGCCAGCGCCGCCAGGTCCGGCCTCTCCTGCTTCAAGATACTGGAACAACCACGAGGACAAAATCCTGTCAGGGTTCAGCCTAACTAGCGTCATCACACACACACACACCTACACGCGCTACAACATTCACAGACAGTAATAAAACATTGGTACGCAACAGTATCTGTGTTTACAACAGCCGATCAATGATTATTAGCTGTAAACGGAGCGCTGTTGGCATGATCCTGTTTAAATCGATTAAAACTGTAACAGCTAGAGCATTCATTATTTCTGCTGATGTTTTTTGTCTTTCGCGCCATCACGTCGTCCGCTCGCGATGACGTCATCACTTTAAGTTGCTTGCGGTGGAAGACGGCGTGAGAGCGCTTGGTGGCGCTAGAGGTTTTTGAGAGAAACACTAAGATTCAGAAAAATGACCATATCTCCAAAAAAAAAAAGAAAAACAAAAAAAAGTACACAGTTCAAATAACTTGTGGAGGGTTACGAAATATTTTGTTCATCTCTCTACATTTAGAAATATTTTGGATCAATATGTTTTGTGTTTATTTTGTAGAATTTTATGAGAAAACATTCCCGATTTTTGTATTTTTTTTTATTTAATCACAAATTTTCAATACTTTCTTCAATTATTATGGTTTATTGACTTACATAACCTTTTAGCTGAGGTGGTACAGATTTTATGGATATGAAGTATTTGAAGATACTCCAAGAAATGACATCATAATAGGCAGAAATACCAGAGTAGGAACTGGCGGACCATTTGTATTGCAGAGTTGAAAGGATTAAAGAAACGTAGAGACGGATTCTTTGATCATGTTATGAGTGTTGTTGTTGCATAATATTTAAAATAAATTTCTGTAGTTTTAAACACTTGATTCTTATTTATCAAAACTTTAGATAAACTTTATTCTGTTGTACTTTTGTTCAACGTACTACAGTCATTGTTGGGAAAGTTTCTTGGACTGTTGGACCTTAAAAAAAGTCCTAATGTTACTTTAAATCAGAATCAGCTTTATTTGCCAGGTACGTGTACACATACGAGGAATTTATGTGGAATCTGATTTTATTATTGTATTATTAATTACTACTGCGTATTAAAAGTATTCAGTTAGGTTACTCGTTACATAACTATATTAACTTTCACCACTAAACTGCTGCTGACCTGCCGTCAGTCACATCAGAGATGGTGCGTTCTGGTAAAATCCAAGCGTTACTTGGATTAATAATCCATTACACTTCTAGTTACTGGGAAAAGTAATAATATTACAGTTTTTTATACATTTGACACTTACTTGTAATATTTTGTTGTACTTTTTTAAAGGAATATTTATAAACTGCATTATGTTATTAGAATAACTCCTTGTGAGGTCTCACAACTACGCATAACACATGTTAGGGCCCGTGTCCACCAAAGCCAGCTGAAAACGCCCAGCAGGGAGCGCTGGCGGGCCGGTTCCAGGGTAGTAACCGTTGCTACGGTGTGGCGTTTGTCCCGCCCTTCCTCTACTGTGATTGGACAGCTGAGTAAAAAGTCACAGTGACGAGCGCAGAACCTTTTTCAACTCTCGGCGACCGGGAAAAAAAACGCTCAGCGCCTCATCACGCTGCCGGCGTTTTTAACCAGCTTGTAAAAACGCGCCGCTCCCATTGCAGTGAATTGAAAATAAATGCGCTGGCGTCAGAAAAAAAAAACGCTTTGGTGGACACGGGCCCTCAGGGACAATCTTTCTTTGTTACGCGTTTCTGAAAAGATTTAAGAATATCGGATTTATCCAAACACCAGTCGAGCTAGAACATAAAACTTGTGTTGCATTTCATTCCAGTAGTGTTGAGAATATTTCTTAAGGGATTGAACAGGGAAGGTTGAAAGAGTAATTTAGCTGACCCCATAAGCGTTTTCTGACCTTCTAGCTCTAAGTATTTCTCACATGTAACTGTCCTTGTTAGGGAGACAACAGTCAGACTGATTAGTTAGAGACAGCAGCTCAGGCGTCAGTCTAGCAGGTATCAGTGTTCTCTGGGAATCTTACAAGAATGTTTACAAGAAATCGCTGGCTGCACAGATTAGAGGACAACTCATAGATAGTGAGAGATTCCAATATGACGAAGCACTGGAGTCTAAACATCAGACAGATTAGTTGTTCGAGGTTAAGGCCAAAGATGACCTAAGGGGAAAACCTACAGGCACTAGAGTGAAGACATAAAAGGGACCAAAAGATTTGATCCTTCAGATTTGGTGTTGGCATTTGACGTGTTCTCCCACGCTATGTTAAGTCTTCATCACTGGCTCATAATACTTCTGTATTTTTCTCTATACTGGATATTTTTGATTGACTTTTGGAAAGTTTTAAAAATGAATTGGGAAAGTGGCACAAAACGCACACACAAACAAGAAAAAAAACACTCAATCCTTTTATACGGCCTGTTGTTTCTTCTTTGTGCTGAAATAAAAATGATTTTTTTTTTTTAAGAAATAGAAAATCCAAATACAAGAGGCTCCTCCCACCAAAGAAGAAAAATCATTCACATTTCCAGTATGGTCTGGTACAGCCCCTCTCAAGCTGAGGATTTAAATCTGGAACTAATAGATCGAAGAATAAATCGACTGGATTATGAATCTGAATGAGATGTGATGCAGACGTTTTACATCTCAGTCTGTATGTTAAAAACAATTGGGGATTTCTTCTTTAATAATAATAATAATGAATAAATGGTTTACTGAAGCCTGAAGCGTCCCAGTTTAGCAGAACACTCTTGTCCTGCGTTGGGACAAAATTAATGACTAAGCAGTTAAGAAGGTTTAGAGAAGCTTCTTGTGCTTCGACTGCTTGTTACATAATAAAAGCACAGACCTCTTCATGCCTTAAATTCAGTTTACATCAGCTCAGATTTTTCCTGCACTCCTGGGACCTGCGGACGTCCCGGGACAAGTCTAATTTCTGGTGCGTTTCTGACGTGGCGGCGTTGAACCCTTACCGGTACCACTTCCTGGAGAGTTTGGGTCGTCCCCGGACAGTTTTGTGCCACACGATGGGGAAGTTGGTCGAGCTGGCAAAGTTCTGAGTGACGGCGATTGTCGTGTCCAGGTTGAGAACCACGTGCCACCACCCGCCTGCGGACACACAGCTAGTGACCATTAACACCAGAAAGAACATCAGAACAAACAAAAACTCGCCGCTGCTTTGCTTTACTCGTCGTCTAACAATGCACTGCTCCTAAATCTTGTATTTTGACATAGTTGTTATAAGACTGTTTGTTTTTGTCAAATGACAACATGCTGATATATTTATAAAAACACACTACCGGTCAGAAGTTTTACAACAGCCCCATGTTTGTTAATTGTATGTAAATCTAAGTAGAATTAAGAGAATAGAAAATAAGAACAAAAGAACTAGAAAACTGAAACATACGAACAAAAAATCTTCTTGGAAAGCAGACTAAAGATTAAAAGACAATATTCGCGAAACAAACAAATAAAAGTAGATTAAACGAACAGTAAGATCAAATGTTAATTAAATGTGTTTCAACAACATCTCAGTTGTTGCACGATTCAAATTCTAACTGCCGTCTGAGTGTGAAAATTGTGCGTGTCAAATTATCTGCATATATCAAAGTCACGTCCTCCTGACGGGTTCGTGTTGTGTCTGTGGTTTAATCTACACAGTCAGACAGGTGAGGTCTAAATCTGCAGGGTGTAATCCACCCTCATCACCATCAGACAGACAGATTTAGAATTAGGTGGATTTAGGTCGCACTGGTTTCACAGTTTAAACTGTCGACACAGCTCTCGGGTCACTGCAGGGCGTCTACGGATGTTCAAAGAATAAAACAGGGAGGCGGTTTGGTTTCTGCTCAAACGGAGCACCAGCCGTGATTTACAGATAACACGGCAGCTGTTTTTGCAGGCTGTAAACATTTCTGCGGTAAAGTTGGCCATTTAAACATGGAGGTCTGCAGGGACTGACTTGCTTTTAGAGCCTCGTGTGGATGAACTGCAGTTTTTGGCTGCTGTTTATCAACAAATCCCACAAACTCTGATGTTCTGAGCTGTGAGCTCTCCTCCACCGCGCTTCTCCTCCACCGCGCTCTTCTGCGCTTCTCCTCCTCGCTTCTCCTCCTCTCCTCCGCCGCGCTCTTCTGCGCTTCTCCTCCTCTCCTCCTCCGCCGCGCTCTTCTGCGCTTCTCCTCCGTGCTTCTCCTCCTCCGCGCTCTTCTGCGCTTCTCCTCCGTGCTTCTCCTCCTCCGCGCTCTTCTGCGCTTCTCCTCCGTGCTTCTCCTCCTCCGCGCTCTTCTGCGCTTCTCCTCCTCCGCGCTTCTCCTCCACCGCGCTCTTCTGCGCTTCTCCTCCGCGCTTCTCCTCCACCGCGCTCTTCTGCGCTTCTCCTCCGCGCTTCTCCTCCTCCGTGCTTCTCCTCCACCGCGCTCTTCTGCGCTTCTCCTCCTCCGCGCTTCTCCTCCACCGCGCTCTTCTGCGCTTCTCCTCCTCCGCGCTTCTCCTCCACCGCGCTCTTCTGCGCTTCTCCTCCTCCGCGCTTCTCCTCCACCGCGCTCTTCTGCGCTTCTCCTCCTCCGCGCTTCTCCTCCTCCGCGCTTCTCCTCCGCGCTTCTCCTCCTCCGCGCTTCTCCTCCACCGCGCTCCTCCTCCTCCGCGCTTCTCCTCCACCGCGCTCTTCTGCGCTTCTCCTCCTCCGCGCTTCTCCTCCACCGCGCTCTTCTGCGCTTCTCCTCCTCCGCGCTTCTCCTCCTCCGCGCTCTTCTGCGCTTCTCCTCCACCGCGCTTCTCCTCCACCGCGCTCTTCTGCGCTTCTCCTCCTCCGCGCTTCTCCTCCACCGCGCTCTTCTGCGCTTCTCCTCCTCCGCGCTTCTCCTCCACCGCGCTCTTCTGCGCTTCTCCTCCTCCGCGCTTCTCCTCCTCCGCGCTTCTCCTCCACCGCGCTCTTCTGCGCTTCTCCTCCTCCGCGCTTCTCCTCCACCGCGCTCTTCTGCGCTTCTCCTCCACCGCGCTCTTCTGCGCTTCTCCTCCTCCGCGCTTCTCCTCCACGCTTCTCCTCCTCCGCGCTCTTCTGCGCTTCTCCTCCTCCGCGCTTCTCCTCCACCGCGCTCTTCTGCGCTTCTCCTCCTCCGCGCTTCTCCTCCACCGCGCTCTTCTGCGCTTCTCCTCCTCCGTGCTTCTCCTCCACCGCGCTCTTCTGCGCTTCTCCTCCTCCGCGCTTCTCCTCCACCGCGCTCTTCTGCGCTTCTCCTCCTCCGCGCTTCTCCTCCACCGCGCTCTTCTGCGCTTCTCCTCCTCCGCGCTTCTCCTCCACCGCGCTCTTCTGCGCTTCTCCTCCTCCGCGCTTCTCCTCCACCGCGCTCTTCTGCGCTTCTCCTCCTCCGCGCTCTTCTGCGCTTCTCCTCCACCGCGCTCTTCTGCGCTTCTCCTCCACGCTTCTCCTCCTCCGTCCTTCTCCTCCTCCGCTCTCCACTGCGCTTCTGCGCTTCTCCTCCTCCGTCCTTCTCCTCCTCCGTCCTTCTCCTCCTCCGCTCTCCACTGCACTTCTCCTCCTCCGTCCTTCTCCTCCTCCGTCCTTCTCTTGCCTGTTTGTGAACTCTGGTAAAGACCTCTTTACTGTGTGAGGGAAGAAGCTCCACTCTGTAACCGTGCTGTACACAAGGTTTCTGAGAGACGTCTTGATGATGTCATTCAGTTTCAGGAGTCACATGTTCCAGTTAAACTTTCATTCTTATCAGATCAATAATTTAAACTGATTACCTTGATAGTTTTTAATCAGGCCCTTTGGTATTTGGACCAAATAGCTTATGGAAAACTAGGCGTCAGATTTAGTAGCTGCAACTGTGTCAGACACATATTTAATCAATGTTTAGGTAATAAATCAATCAGACTCTGCAGATATTAAATATTAAAGGCCAAGAGGTTCTACTGGGACGTCCCTACCTGTAAGCTGGATTGATTTATTACTTGGTGATTTCATGAGATTTGTTGACAAGAAGAAACAAACAGTATTTCTCCAGACTAATTATTTAAAAGGATGGAAATAAAACATTAGAAAACAATGTTTCTTCACTGACCAGGCACAAAAACCGTCTCCCCAGGTTTTTGGAGGATCTCCAGTGGCGTGAACTCTGGAGGCCAGTTCGGCTGCTGAGTTCGGGGATAAACCACGTTGAACCAGGTGATTGCCTCGTCCTGCTGGTTTCCTCCCTCCTCTCTGGTCACCTTGATCAGCTCGCGGGGCGTGTTGGTGGGGAACAGACACCACCTCTTGTGCCCTTGAACCAGGGCGTTCCAGGCGCTGGTGCCCAGCGGGTCGATGTGGATGCCGGTGCCGGATCGGGCCGGACCCATTACAAACCATCTGTGAGGAGAGGATAACATCAGGTGTCACTGAAACGTCACCATGCAAACTCTGATTTGTTGACAGTCAGTGATTATTTGATCAACAATATTTATGTTTCACCACAGCAAAAACGCTGATTTAAAGCCACTGAACTTCTCATTTCTCTGCTTGTTATTATGAAGATCACATGTAGTGAAACAAAGGGATAAATGGCAGAACAACAAAGAAACAATGTTGTCAGCTTACTGACAGTTTAAAAAAGCAGAGAAGAGAAACAAAACTTAATTTGCTGACTGACTTAATGAAGCTAAGAACATCCTGATTCTGTGTTGCTGTTTACTCGTGTGGGCAGATTACCATCGTTTTGAATTCGTTATTCGACTCATTTATCTTTATCTTCACGGTTCTACTGATCCAAATGATTACATGAAAGTTCAAAGGAGACTTTCTGGGTTTCATTCCTGTAACTCTTTAAAGTATCTGGAACTGATGGATTAAAGACCACACACAAAATTAATAATTGTCTCAAAAACAACCTTCAGACTATAATAGCAGCCAATTGCAAGTCAAAGGGAACGTGTTTTTAAATTAACTTAAAACATCAACCTAAGAAAAGAGTTCAGCACAGGAAGCGAAATTATAAAACATGATCATTATCGCTTCATTCAATGATAGTTATTAGTTGAGGGTGATTTAAAATTTTCTATCACATCTATATAATTTTATAACTTGATATGTGTGATTATTTATCTATTTTTGGCTAATCTGATAAATGTAATATCTAATAAACCACAATCACGCATTAATATCCAAATATTCCACTAATTTCTCTCTAATGTGATGATGCGCTGCTTTATATCTTAACGTTTTGACTGCTGGTTGGACAAAAAAAACACACGAAGACGTCACCTTCAGCTCTGGGAAACTGAGATGAACATTTTCACTATTTTGTGATTTTCTACACTAGACGATGACTCGATTAGTTGAGAAAGTAATCAGTATCCTTTTGAACACATTTTGTTTACTCATTTTTAAATCCGGCATTGTTTCCATCCATGTTCAACAGCCTCTTCTTCACCTTTGCCGCCACGTTGGAGCATATTCTTGCCACCGCCAGTGGATGAGTGCAACGCGGCCGGCAGGACTGAGACTGCGCTTCCATAGGTCTAAAGCCGAAAAGTTAAATAAACGAACCTGTACGGCGGTCGGCGCTTCTCTCCTGCAAACTGGAACAGGTCGTCCCTGAAGAAGACGGGCACCTCGTAGTCCTCCAGCAGCTTTCGCCGCTTAGCGTGTTCCCCGTAGCTGCTGTCGAAGATGTAGAGCGGGCTGTCGTCCCTGGTGCTCTCCAGGTACTCCATGTAGTACTTCATCTTCATCTTCACGGAGTATCCGTCGTTGTCCTCCCCGCACTTGAACTTCTGGTTTCGATATTTGCGTTTGAGGCGTTCCAGAGTCCATTTTTCCCGAGCGGGCCAGGTCTCCTGGCAGTTCAGCAGGACGACAGGCTTGTAGGGCCGCTCGAAGCGCTGGATGAACTCTTCAGGGGTGACTCGGAGGGCGTCCACACGCTCAACGCTGTCCTGTAACACAGCGTGATGCATCAGTACAGTGTTACACAGAGTATGGGTCTGAAGGCGTAAATACTCTTCTGTCTATCTGGATAACAAAATATTCTGTCACTCACACGTAATGTTAGAATAAGATGTTCAACCTGTTTCCCGACCTGTGACTATATATTTCTTAATCTGAAGTGATCTAAAGTGTTGGGCCAACAACAGCTGTAAGTGTAAAATACCTTTCTAGTCTTTCTGAAATGATTAAATATTATAACAGGCACCAACTGGGAGTGGTATCAGGACACAAAGGGTGTGTGTTTGTGTTGAGGAATGCCATGTTGAGGCACACTCGCTTGTCCTATTATTATATCCTTTAAATAACTCTGCAGCTCTTCATTTGGTTGTTTTGTGGCTGTTTACTACACCCCTGCTACTAGCGGAAATAATCTCACAGCGAGCACTGTTGGTTCAGAATTTTTCTGTCTGCCTTAGAACAATAGTCAGTACAAGGACATGTTCACAGTAATTAGGGACCAAAACTGTCCAATCAAATCCACTTTCCACAAACAAGGACGGTTTTTGTCCCCCATCACTGTGAACATGTCCTTCAAGTTCAATCTCAGCCTACAGTACTTACAAGATTTAATAAGTGGAGATTTACTACATTTAAAACTGCCTGCAGCGCACAAATTATTTACTACATCCTGCTGACACAAGTGTAACTGGTGTGTGCACGTACCACAGTGCAAATGTCCAGTATTAGAAGACAACATGTTACCGTCCTACATGTGCATGTGTTTAAGACTGAATTTGATTGACTTTATACTTTGGAATAAAGAAGCTGATGTACTAAAACGTGGACAATTACATTTACACACTTTACTTTTTATTTGAATAACATTGCTACTTAATGTTTTTTTTATTTTGTCCTTCACTTCTTTGAGACAATACATTTCCAGCATATCTTTATATAAAATATCTGGGTATATATTGCACAGCATATTCAAACAACATAATGTCAGAAACATAGCTTTACCTACAGTGAAAAATAGATGTTGGATCAAAAGAAATGTGCATAAATTTAAACATAACTATCCAATCCATCATATCTGTGTATGGCAAGCGTTGACATTTATCCCTTAAAAGCTACTAGTACTTATGTATTAGTTAATGGTACCTATTTTTTGTTATTAGTAACTAACTGCACATTTTGGCCATTGAAATCTATGGGGCTCTGCAGTTCAGATATCATTTACTAGTCACTATTATTTAGCTACTAGTGCTTATTTTATTGTTATTAGTAACTATTCGTTTCTTACTAGTAAGAAACAAACTACTATCAACAACAAGTCATTAATGAATGACTAGTAACCCCAAAAAAGAAGAATGAAAATGTTACTAGTAACTTTTGGAATAGTTACTATCTGTATCTGAACTAAGGAGCACCTTAGATTTCAAAGGCCAGAATGTGCAGTTAGTTACTAGTAACTACAAATTAGGTACTTGTAACGTTATCTAATCAATTCTTACTTATAAAGCAGGAATAGCTACAAGTCATTTTTAAATAGAGTTTTAAGGAATAAATGTTAAATAGATTTTAAAGGTAAAATGTGCATTTAATTAACGTTACTAGTAACTAATGGAATACTTTGGCATTACAGGTTTGGTAATATTCTTGTACCGATATGGACTTGCGTGTCTGAAAAGAAGTTAAAGTATTAAAATAAAGTAGTACAAAGGTCTCGGGGCCTGAAATTAAAGTAATGGCGTGACACACTGTGGTGAAACACCGGCTCGGTGTCTACGTGACAAGCTGCACTCCTGCAGCGAGCTGCGGCTAGCGAGCTAACGTTAGCCTAACTCAGGATGCTACATTGACAGTTACCTTTACGGTGAGGTGCGACAGGTCGAAAGTCTCATGATAACCGTGTTTAGTCCAGTCTAATGAGTCTTTCAGTTCGGGTCTGGCGCTCCGTTTCGCCTCTTTAATCCTCTTCTTACTCTTATGGTTCATTCCTCCTCCTGGCTTTTAAAAGAGTGTTGTCGCTGCTCAGCTAGCTATCGAGCTAACCTGGAGCTACCACAGAGACGCATTCACTAGCCTGCACCGGGCTAGCTACGCTGCTCAGACAGCCTCGCTTTATTTATTTGCTTAAGATAATAAGCCCAAAATAGGCGGGTAATGTGTAGAACCCGTCCTCAGATCTTTACCAACAAATGTGAGATCACTTTTAAAATCTGCCTCGACGGTACAGTTTCGTTAACAGACAACAAGAGAAGCTAACTGGCTGGCAGGGGGACACAATGCTTGTGCAATTGATTGACAGCTACAGCGCCCGCCTCTGTTGCTGGAATACAAAGCTGATTGGCCACAGCGCCCTCAAAGGCAAATCGTTGATTGGATGTAATGTAGCAGAAGCCTTCCCGCCGGGCATTTACGTAGATTTGATTGGCTGTTAAGGCGTTGTGTTTGGGTCGATGCGGAAATAGACGTACGCGTTCTGCTAGTGATATAATATCAATAAAAAATGTCGATAAAGTTTTTTAATGTGAATTTCTCATTAGAATAATAGCGGGCGATTTAATTATGTAATGTCAGACGATTTTATTAACCCGCAAAATGGACGACAGTGGAACCGAAACACCTAGAATAGCTTACAAAGTTTTCACGTTTGAAGAAAGCAAGAAAGACACAGAGGAGTCACTGTCTGTCTGCATACCAGAGGTCTGTCTGGATTCAGTAATTAACATTATTATACTTCATGTAACGTTGCAGTAATTGTTTATATGCACCTGTGTGAAATTTACTTACTTTTTATGTAAATGAGCTGTTTTCTGGGTTAAGTGTTGCGCTGGAACTTCATAAAATCAAGGGGCTAACGCCTGAAAATGTGAATTTAACTTAATCATGTGTATATAAATGGTATGCAGCCGTTAGAAGAACGTGCAAGGTGTTATACGATATGTTAGGGTCCTCCCATTAATTCGGCTTACATCCAGTTATACAAGGTGTTTTTGTTTAAAATAAATTTCGACAAATATAACTGGATTGCCTCCATTCATCGCCCAGTCAGAACAACCTCACGAGCAACATAATCCAACTCCAAAAGCTAAAATTAAACCAAACAACGTGGTGCATGATGGATGATATGGATGCAGATCTTTAGAAGACATCCACTCTTTGTAAACTTTCTAATGTCTTGAACCACTCTCTTACATTTAGTGGTATGAAATGCAAGACATTTGATTGTTCTTGTGTAGTTTGTATGATGCTTTGGCAATATTGTTGTTATACATGCACGCCAATAAAGCTATTATAATTTGATTTGAATTGCAAGACATCCTTAAAATGTTAAATATGTTAGTGATGTTTTGTTTTCAGACACTATTTCGTGGTTAACTTGCAGTCATTTTCAGGTACTCGACCCACACTATGGCATGTATGTGTGGCCTTGTGCGGTGGTGCTGGCACGGTTTCTGTGGGCACGAAGAGAAGAGCTGAGAGACAAGACAGTACTGGAGGTGATAGGAAGCAGGTTTTAATTGTTACAATTAGAAAAATATTTAACAACAACGGAACTGTGGACATTGCGAGGTCTCTCTCCACAGATTGGTGCAGGTGTGAGTCTGCCAGGTGTGGTGGCGGGGAAGTGCGGTGCAAAGGTGATCCTGTCAGACAACGCTACGACTCCACAGTGCCTGGAGAACTGCAGGCGCAGCTGTGAAGCCAACGGCCTCCGTGACGTGGAGGTGCTGGGACTCACCTGGGGGGAGATCTCGCCGGATCTCGTTCTGCTTCCTGAGCTGGACGTCATCTTGGGGTCGGATGTTTTCTACGAGCCACAAGGTTGGTCGCAGGATGCACTTTGGCCATGTAGTGTATGTAAAACTGAGTGAATAAACATTTGCCACCTGTTTCAGATTTTGAAGATGTCCTCGTGACTGTTGCTTATCTTCTAAGAAAGAACCCCAGAGCCCAATTCTGGACCACATACCAAGAGAGAAGGTTCAGTATACCTGCTTTATTTCCCACCTGCACCGCAGACGTACTGTCCAGTCTGCATCGCTGCTTCAGTTGTTGTAAGCCTCCTCTTCTTCCTTGTGTTTCAGTGCCGACTGGTCGATTGAAGCGTTGCTCCACCGGTGGAAGCTGAGTTGTGTTGATGTTGAGCTGGAAAGCTTCGATACGGATAAACCTGAGCTGGCTGAATCAGCTCCGCCGGGCAGCTACAGCGTCCAGATGATGATCATAACGCTGAAGACGGAGGACGCTGGGCCGTAATTACAGACTAAATGTTGGTCATTGTCATCGGTGGTTACAGGAGCCACCAAAACTCTCATCGTAGACGGAAGGTGGAGAAATTAAATGAATGAATGTTAAACATGACATTAAACCTTTCAGCTGCATGTTGAAGATCAGTCTGGGTTTGTCTTTGTTATATAACTCCACTCTGTTGCATAAGCTCAGTTTTGCAGCTGCAGTTCTGGCACCAACATGTAAACTTAGTGGATGGAAAATCTCTGTGGTGAAAACATGACGGAGCAAACTGTTCCTGTGGCGCACTCTGGACGTGCACGCTCACTGAGCGCTGATCTGTGAGTGCTGTTCCCCGCACTGCAGAGAGTCCACACTCCCACATTCAGCCTCTGGAGGTTTGGCAGCCGCTGTCCCCTGCTGGTGGATCCAGACTCCTGCAGCTGCGAGCTGGACAGGCGGTGGAGGAACCAGCAGAGGGAGGAAAGCTGCAGAGATTCACTGTTGAACACAATGTTTACACCATCAGACTGAACTGGGTGAAGTCAGAGCTGCAGCCACAGGTGTTATTTAATCAGGTAATGCTGAGCTTCAGTACACCGGGGTTATTACTCCACAACAGCAGCAGTTTTTATTTTAACATGAGGTCTTAAATAAACTTTGCTATAATTTGGTCTAGTGAACATTTCATTGAAAATGTTTCTTAAAGTGTTAAACACTCTGAAGCAGTGATTCCCAACCTGGGGGTCGGGACCCCGCAAGGAGTCGCAGGGTAAATCTGAGGTGTCGCCAGATGATTAAATGACAGGAAGTAGAAAAACGCATTTCTGCAAAAAATAGGTTATTAGCCACGAGCTAGCAGCATGTCCACCACCACTTTGGTCCAGACTGAAACATCTCAGCAGCTGCTGGATGGATGATTATGAAACGTGGTTCAGTCTCTGATGTTCCCCTCAGGGTTTACATCGTTGTAATATGACAAATAAACCTACCGTCTTACCTTCATGTTAATCTGTCCAGCACTTTGCTTTATGACCAAATACCTGCACTAACGACGTTCACATCAGCCTCAGCTGTTCACTCTGTTCACTGCTAATTAGCTCACGTTAGCGTGCTAACATGCTAAACTAAGATGGTGAACACGAAACCTGCACAACATTAGCCTGTTAGCATTGTCAGTGTGAGCATTTGGGTCAAAACACTGCTGTGTTTAAGTACAGCCTCACACACAATTTTATTTGTTTTTGCATTTTGTTCGTGACTCTGGATCATCGAACATCTTCAGACGCAAAATGTGAATCCGCAAAAGATTCACATGAAACAAAGGGAAATCTCTGAAACGGGCCACCACACAGACAAACTCAGCCTGCGATGAAGGTGTGAAGTCAGACAAAGCTTCGTTTTTATGAGCTGAAAGTTTTGGGAAGCACAAGAAGATTCTTAATATCAGGTGTATTTCACTACTAGTACTTCAGCATTAACTCAACACAAGCAGCCTTCATGGTCCAAACATTTAGATTTAAAACATTTACATTTAGCTGACGCTTTTATCCAAAGCGACTGACTGCTATACATGTCAGAGGTCACACGCCTCTGGAGCAACAAGCGTATGAGACGGGGAAAAGAACTACAGAGTCAAGTCATTCAAGAAGAGTTTTAATAGCATTGAAAACTTGTCAACACATCGAAATCACCCAACTTCCACCACCATCTCACATGTGCACCATTGTGGTCTGAACCGGGACCCGGGTGCACCCCAACACAGGGGAGTGTTTTGCAACACCTGCAGGCGGAGGAGCCACAGTCTGCTGAACATCTGGATCTGTGCGCTCCTCTTCACGCCCACGTCGAACCTCGGGAAGGCTCCTGCCGTCCGTACGTCTCGTTCTGTCGCCAAGGAGGCCGTGGTCGGTTTTTCCGGGATAAGCCGTCCGAGTCGCCCTGGATCAGAAAAACAAGGTTAAAACTTCACCGTTCATGGTCACACAGCTGAGAGGAGTCAGAGCTGCTGTATTTTACAGGCTGACACCAATTTTTTAGTCTCATTATAACCTATAATATTTAAAATTTGACTTTGTGTAGGCCAAGGAAATGAATGAGATACCACAAAATAATTCAGCGTAGTGTGAAGAAAGCTTCAGCATTTGGGCCATCATGGGATATTTGAATAACTAAATAAATGAATAATTTTAAAAGAAATCCAAATACTTAAAATCCTTTACAGACCCTTTACTTTGTGTTTACACTTTTATCTTGCCTCTAAGCAACTTCTACATGAGACGTTTTAGAAGTAACTTACATTTTATGAGCTCCACGTACCAAATGTCATTCGGAAATGCACAAATTTAAAGTAAGCAGTGATTCATGCGAGCGCAGAGTACAGAAAATGATTCAGCAACTTGACCTGTCACAAATAAAATAGGCTCCCTTGAATTCGGCTTAGGATAACACTGACATAAACAAAGAACTAACTCTTATTTGAATACAAAATTTGGGTTTGAGCCACACCTCCCCGCTCGAGTACCGCGGCGGAGCAACAGTTAAAGCGAGAGATTCCCCAAGGAAGAGTTGAACTTGGCGGGTCAACTGTCTGTGCCAGATGTCACTCAGAGATTTACTAATTAAAGGAATAGAGTGATTCGGTTTAATCACAGAGCACATTAAATTATTCAAGAACTTTACTAACCCCAAACTCTTAAATTCGGTACATTTAACCCGCCTCACCTCAGTAATCACTCCTTGGCTTTCTTCTCGGAGTTTTGGAGTTTCTCCACAATTTTGCGCTCATGTCCGGAGGGGCTGTGCCTGTTGGTGTTGTCACTGGCCTCCTTCTTTGTCCTGCCTTTACGGGCCGAGCCTTCTGTTAAGAGGAAAAAAAAACCCTTTTAGAGATAAAACAAACAAACAAACTACGACAAAAAGACAGTGAGAAGAAGTTTCACTCGTGATTCAGGCAGCTCACCTGCGTATTTATCGGTCAGGTTATAATATTCATACTGATCGAAATACTCGTCTTCAAAGCGGCTGGGCTTCAGATTCTTCACGTCGACGTGGCTCATGTTGGTTTCTCCGAGATTTGCTCCAAAAAATAATAATAATAATAATAAAGTTTAAAAAAAGAAAACACTCCCTCTCGTCTGCTTCTGTCTCGGATGTTTTTCTCCACACGCCTCGCTGACTTTTTATAACGGAGCCGTGCAGCTCCTCCTGCAGACACCGCCCCCCCCGCCGCAGGTGTCCTCTTTCTGCTGCAGCAACATTGCATCATTTTAGGATTATTGCTCCATTAACGTCCCTGAACACAACATTGTACATTTACTCCAGCACTGTACTTCAGTACACATTTAAAATCGCTGTACTTTACTTGAGTCATGTCACTTTGTACTGTTATGTTACTGTTTTGAGTGTTACTTCTTCTTCTTCTTTGTTTATGTCAGTGTTATCTGAAGCCGAATTCAACGGAGCCTATTTTATTTGTGACAGGTCAAGTTGCTGAATCATTTTCTGTACTCTGCGCTCGCATGAATCACTGCTTACTTTAAATTTGTGCATTTCCGAATGACATTTGGTACGTGGAGCTCATAAAATGTAAGTGACTTTTAAAACGTCTCATGTAGAAGTTGCTCGGTTAAAAAAAGATCAAATTTTTAACACTCTGTAAAGAGTCTTTAATGTTTCCTTTTTAAATATTTGGATTTATTTAAAAAAGATATTTCAAATTTCCAAATACATGATGGCCTAAAAATGCTGGAGCTTTCTTCACACTGCAGTACTTCTACTACTCCAAACCTTAGAGGGGAATATTGTACTTCTTACTTCACTACATTTATCTGACAGCTTCAGTTACTTTACACATTAATATCTTTAATATGATGTTTTGTTAAAACTACAGCAGCAACATCCTGCTCTACATTAAGACCAACAGCAATAATCTGATGAGAGGAGATACAATAATACAACATTTTACTGCTTTAATACTTTAAGGACATTTTACTCACTTACCTTTACTGCAGTAACATTTTTACTGCAGGACCTTTACCTGTAACAGAGTATTTTACAGTGTGGTATTAGTATACTAATAGTATTCTAAAGTCCACTGCTGCTTGCATCCATGATTATCACACAGGTGCATCACTACACAGACGGGGGAACCTTCATATTGAACAACAATGAAGTTAAGTTATTTAAATGTATTTATTGCATTTTCTTTATTGTTTCACTTGCATGTAGAGAAAGGAAACATCAGGTGTGGAGGAGGCGCTCTCTGCTGCAGCGTTTAAAGTCTGACCTTCACGTCTGCAGCAGAGTTTTCTTGGTTTATCAGCAGCTGCTCGCTTCACACAGCCCTGACCTGTTTGTGTGTGTGTAGTTATCTCATGTCAGTCGACTAATCATTGTCAAACACCTCGTGACTTTTCAAAACAAACTTTGGACTGAACTTATCAGAGAGTGACGAAAGAAAGAAAATAACTTCCAGTGTCGGCTGATCTACAGACACGTGTTCTGGAAACCCGTGCACGTCTGTATTCACGTGCACGTCTGCATTAATGCTCAGAATAAATGGCTGACAGATGTAATGTCAAATTTTCATTAAAGTCTAATTCAGTATTTTTAAACCTGGGCCACATGTTGTTGGTGTTGGAATAACTCGTAGGTGCAGAAAGTTCTGAATCTGTGCAGTAGAAGCTTCAGCCGGCAGCTGAACTGTATTCCTTCCTGTCAAAATGGCGTCCGCAGAAAGAGCTCCTTGTTGCCAGCGACAGGCTCCGACTGTTACACCAGGTGTCTGACAACATCAGGGACTCCGGGTGACCCCCTTTTGTTTTTAACAGGAAACTGAAGTCTCGCTCTGAGATCTCGTGAGAGGTGAGTCGTTGCAGGGAGACGCCGGCGGTGGAAACGAGGGAGAGGAGTTTGTTGTGCACGTAGAGGAGCTGCAAGCAAGACTTCCTAACAAACTCCTCTCTCACACTCTCGCTTCCACTGTCGCAGTCTTCCCGGGGTGAAGTTAGTTTAATGCTGTTGGAGGAAGACGCCGGCGTTGGAAACGTGAGACAGTGAGTTGGAGAGAGGAGTTTGTTGTGTTGCTAGCAGCTCGGTCTCGCCATGGTGTTTGATTTTTACACCTTGTTAGCTGAGTTTGGCTGTTCCTCCTACCCAGCTGTTTCTGCTCAGTTAATGATTGTGTTTCAACCTACTTAATGACTTTATCATCATAATTAAACAAACATAATTGTTTAATCAAACACCTCATGATGTGCCTACAAGATCCCTGACTTTGTGCAAGTGCACCTGGAAGAACTGAAAGCAAAGGGTGGTCACACCAGATTTTCAGTAAAATTAGCTTCTGTTCACTTTCTGTTTTGTTCATTGATAAATATCCATTTGTGCAGTTATATTTGTGAAAGCATTCTTACTTTACAGCATCTTTTCCACACCTGCCTAAAACTCTTGCACAGTATATCTAGTTTTATCTTTTCACCTTTTACCTCATGATCATGTCCTGCAGCTTTTATCTTTTCTTAATTTTTATACCCTCTCTGTGAAGAAACAATATTTAGAAAGACAAAAAAAAAAAACACTTCACATGAGAAACTTCACATCACCGTCTTATTAGAACTTGTAACATTAAATAATAATCTGACCACAGAGCTGTCGTTTAAGGATTAACGGGCAGAAAAGAGCAATATTAGTTTGCTCCTCTGATTTAAATCTTATTTTCTCACTTCTCCCCTCACTTGTGCTTATTTCCTGTGAAAAACCGGATTGTTTTACCTCTTACACAAAACTACGTGAGAGGTTTAGAGGCAGAACGTCAGTGTTTGGTTCGGCCTGCGGTGGCTGTATGTATTGAGCCTGATAATACAAGTATGTTTTAACACAAGAGAATAAATGTTGCCTGGCAGCAGAGGGAAAAATCATGTCACACTCTGAATTTAAACTCCGCTCATCACGCTGTAATTACAGGCCTCAACATCAAAACAAACTTCAGTCACAAGAGCGTTCTGGTTTTAGTCACCGCATGACTCCCGTTTCTAACTGCATCGCTGAGCAGAGTCATTTACCACAGTGGAAAAACACACTCGAGACAGCCACAAGTTGTTCACGAGGGGGGAAGAGTTCAAGCTCCAGAAGGCAGGAGTTGAGACACATCCTCCATTACTGTGACTACGTGATCAAAAACCAGAGCTTCCTCAGGGTCAGCCAATAATCACACACAGGTGGAGGCTGTGAACACATCCAGCTCCTTCGTTACACCTGTATCGACACAGATAATAAAACTATACACATGAATTTTATTGAATCGGTACCCGATGCAAGTAAAAGAACAACTAAAAGGAACTTTACACATGGCTATAACTGGTATTACAACGCACGGTGGGCCGCTGTGTTGGTGGGTCTGGTGGTGAATCATCAGCTGAACCTGAGACTTTTTTTATCTGTCCGGCTGCAGATTTAACAGCAACCAGACCTGTACGTCCTCATACCTAAACCACAAAATAGGTTGATTGTCTAATGGCTCAAAAAAACATGCACAAGCAGGCTTCTACATTTCCAGAGTCAGGAAACATCACTGCAGATCCATCTCACCCCGGACACAACCTGTTCCAGCTCCTCCCCTCTGGGAGGCGCTACAGAGCGCTGTACACCAAAACCAACAGACTCAGGAATAGTTTCTTCCCACAAGCCATCACTCTGATGAACAGCTGACTCTGACTCACAGTGTTGTGCAATAACCCAGTAAAGCTGTGTTCACACTGAAAGCAAATCCAGCGTTTTGGGCGGCTTGATTGAAAAATCAATGCAAAAAGGTGAATTCCTGTGAATTCACTCCGAGCGGAGCGAAAGAGGCGTTTGTTGCGACATTCACTGGTCCTCACAAGTTTAAATTTTTCAACTTGGGGCGAGAAATTCGCTGGACGCGATGTTGCTAAAGCCTATCAGCGTGAGATTGTCCAAACGTCTCCGGCGGCTTCGGAGCGTTGTTTGGAGAGGACCTGACGAGCGGTGTAACGACAATCCGCTGGCCGACGGCGAGCTGCTAAAGAACGGGGAAGTTTACGGGGAGCAGCGCTGCAGCTTTTGGACAAATAAACACCGGTAGTTGATCTGGATTATTCTCTGACAGCTTCGCCGTTTGCCCGCGGGAGGAGCTCCAAGTAAACTGCTTTATTAAATTAGCTTTTTACTTTAGTTTTCGGTATTACACATCCAGTCCCACTGTTGTTGTTAGCGTTGGTTGTTAGCACCCAGAGCTCTGTTGGACTACGACTTCATATTTATATTAAAATCAGACAAAACTGGACATTACTTGGAGAAAGGAAAGCGAGGAAGTTGAACTACCTGGTGAGTTCAGAAAATATATGTCTGTAAATTTGTTCCAGCTGTTGTCGTACTTTACTGTGAACAGGTTAGCGTAGCATAACCCTGATTGATCCAAACTCCATTCAGAAAACAAACATTTTAAAAGTTGTTGTCCTGCTGTTCCGCTGACAGACCTGACAAAGCACGAATTCATATGTTTAACAAATCTGCATCATTATTATTATGTTTATGTTATTATGTTATTTCGGCATCAGTTTCACCCATTTATTGCTATTAAATCACAGCTAAATGTTTACTTTGGGTATATAGAGCTGGAGTATTCGCAGGTTGTGTTTATTCGCATTATCAGATTGTGTGTTGGGTGGTGATAGCGCAGTGGATAAAACACATGCCTTTGGTGTGAGAGGCCCAGGTTCAACTCCCCATTGTGACCCATCTACCAATGTTACCCTGAGCAAGACACTTAATTAAGCAATTATATAGCAATTGCAAGTCGCTTTAGATAAAAGCGTCAGCTGAATGAAATGTGAGTGACACATCCTTTTACACTATGTTCCATTGCAATGTATGTGTATGTTCACCTGTATTTCACATCCACCTCCAACATGTAGCCTACATAATAATTTGGCATTGCATTTTTTTTTTTTGAGAAGGGGAATCAATTTTCTTTCTTGTGGATACAAATAATCATTTAGTTGTACACCAAAGTAAAAATGCTCCATCTACAAGTAAAAGTACTTCTTTACTTTAAAGTCAAAGTTTCATGTAGTTTAAGCAGTAGCACTACTTTGATGAGGATTTTTTATGTTATAAAGTCATGAAAGTAATTAGTTTATCTTATCGTATGAAACGTTGAATCATCATCTCATGACTTTATTCTTTCCTCAGAGTGAGTCTCAGCTGGTTTTGACTTTCAGACGTTCAGTGAACGCCTCCTCCAGAGCACGACGTGACTGTGTGCAGGCAGAGCAACGTCTGGAGAGAAAAAAAGCCTCATGAACACAGCGTTCAGTCCCAAAGAGGGGCGAAAACAAGCCAGCATCACCACCCAGCTCCCTCTTTTCAACTTATCTCTGTTCATGAAAAACACAGCCGGAGCTTTTGTTGCTCTGGTTTCATGATGTTTCCTCTGAGCTGCTTGTTGTCGTCTCTCCCTCCTTCGCTCGTCCTTGACGAGACTCAGCCGGCTACAGTAAATATTTGCAGAAATATGAGCCGACCTGTCTGAGCGGTTAAAGCGTGCCCTCAGTTCCGTCTGTGCAGGAACTTGGCGTGCAACACACACACACACACCAGTGTACACACAGCGCTGGAAACCAGGTCACAGATAAGATGCCAGCTTTATGGCCTGATTCTGACTGGACTGGTGAATATTCACCACACTGCCTGCATTTTAACCTCGTTTAAACTAAGTTCACGCTTAATGAATTTTTGTCCCCATGCGGTATTCACATTCCTCCCAGCTCGCTGCTGAGTTTCATCTTTATTCTGAATAATCAGCCTGCTCTTCGGTTCCGACCCGAGACGGTTTTTGTGTCCAGACACCTCTGAGACGCTTTATCTAAAGATATGGTTTCCGCCCTGACCTCCAGCACCACCACGAGCAACCTTATCTTTTTATGATTTGAACAGTTTTTATTGTTGTAAACAAAATACAAAACATACAACTCATCATCACCCAACGTGCCGAAGGCCTCGGCTGTCAACTCAGGGCACTTCCTCCCATAAGATTTATGACAAGACAATAACCAGAATAATGAAAGCAGAAAGAGAGGCAACAAACTGCAAACTGAATAAATATATTATATAAACACGATAACGCATAACAAACGACTCCCCACAGCACGTGGCTTCTCGCCGGAAAGCTTCAGTGCTTGTTTCTAACGTAGGCGTTCAATCTAGAAAACTGTTAACATGACGTTGTTTGAAACGCTGCCACTCCGGCGTCTCACAAGCCCACCGTTGGACTGAAGGCCCCCCTTCATTCCTCCAACCTCTTAGAGTATGCTACGCCTACTTTTAGCGTTGAACTATGGCGCTGAAGGCGGCCACGTGCGTTGGTACCAGACCTGGAAGGACGTAACAAAGTGAAGCTATTTGACGCCCCGGGGAATGAGAACAGGCTGATTTTCTGTATCTGGGAAACAGCCTAAGTTCATTTAGCTTATCTGAAGGTGCTGTTATAAAACAGATGTGTTTAGCCCACATTTAAAATGATAAACTCGTAAACACGCCGGCCTCAGGTCGGCAGAAGTTAATCATTAATTCTCTGGATGTTTATCTGCCGACTGGTCTCAAAGTAGGAGACGGTTTGTACATGACATCTGGCCAAAGTGCCATCAAAACATCCTGTGAGCACAAATGAAAATGAAAGACGTCACAAATCAAACCAAACTGACGACACATCAGACCTCAGATACACAGACGCTGTTAAAAACGTGGTCAGACATAATTATTGTGAATTTTATGTCATTTTTAGTAGTGGAAGAAGTATTCAGAAACATTACAGTGTAGAAATATTTCAAAAGTCACACATTCAGTGTGTTTTACTAAAGTAAAAGTACAGAAGTACTACAAGCAGTACTTGTTGTTTTCTTCTTCTGCATATTTCATTACATTTTCCCAACTCAACACATTATACTTAAACCAAAACAGCGATGGCGACAATTCTCTTTTCAGAAGACCTTCACGGTTTACAGGTACAGGCTCTTAATAAATCATGAAAAGTGTATTTTTATGCAGTAGTGGAACAAGTACTCAATACCACAATACTAAATATACAAATAAAAGTCACGCATTTAAAATGTTACTTAAGCAAACGTACAAAAGCATCAAAATATAGTTAAAGTACCAGACATAAGTACACAGAATGTCTCTTTTCATAATGACATATATTACTGGATCAATACAACATATCAGCGTTGTAGCTGGTGAAGTTGGTGCTTATTTTAATTACTTAATATATGTATTGTAGGCCTACTTATATTAATACATCACATTTTATTTGTTGACTTTATTTCGAATCTGCAAAGTATCTGAAGCTCTCAAATAAAACTAAATGTAGAAATTATAGTAGTAGTAGTATTTGCCAAGTTAAGTATCTCTAACTAATGGACCGCAGTACTTGAGTAGATCAATTATTAATTTACTTTCCAGCAACTTTCAACTAAAAACAGGTTTCACATTATAATGTGCCAAACCTGCAGTTCCACACTCCGTCCACCTGGAGGCGCTGTGGAAAGCTGCTTTTCAGTGACACCACAGAAGAAGAAGAAGAAGAAGCTAATCTGTGTTAGCAAGTCGACAATAAACAAAGAGAAAACCCAAAAACGGTACGTAGAGTTACGTGTTGCGTTTAATAAAGAAGGGAAAGCATAAGATTTATATAAAGTTATCACAGCGGGAACATAAACAGCCGATGTTGTTGTTACACGAGCACAAACATCGTAGTTTAGCTAACAACCGTGCTAACAGTAGATAAACAAACCACTCGCTAACTTAAAGCAGTCAGCTAATGCCGCATTAATATTACACAGAGTGGTTATTTCCCGTTATTTAAAGTTTGCATTAGCGTTTCAGCAAGCCTTACTAAAACAAAGTTACGTTTTTTTGACGCCGTCTAAACCTAAAGTATAATAGTTGTCGCGTTAGCTTCAATACAAGCCACTTCATTCAAAGAGAAGTTACACCAAACTCCATTCATAATTCTATCAATTCTGACATCACGTACATTTAAGAGATATAAAAACATAGTAGAACAAGATTCAGAACTTGTACTTTACACTTCTTAATTCGGCTTTCATACATTATACTATTTTAATACATTATAGCTTAAATTTATAACATACCTCGTTCTGGTCCCACTAACTGCTTGTAGCTTCTATCAACACCCATGCCTTTAAAATTACAGCTTTTTCTCATGGGGTTTTGTATGTTTTGACGCTACCTCTAACAAGACTGTTTGTGAATGGCAAACTCTTGTAGGTGAGGACATGTCAGCCGACACGAAGATTGCCGAGCTGCTGACAGAGCTCCATCAGCTCATCAAGCAGACACAGGTAAGTTAGTGGCATTGGTGAACAGATTGAAACGGCTTCAGTCGGGTTTGTCATGTTTCAGTGTCCATGTCTGTGTGTTCAGGAGGAGAGGTCCCGCAGTGAACACAACCTGCTCAACATTCAGAAAACACATGAGAGGATGCAGACGGAAAACAAAAGTCAGTCGCCACATTTTAAAACCCCAACAGTCCTCACACCGTGTAGAGATGATGCCGCATGTTTTTGCTTTTCCATCTGGTTATTAGTTGCTGTTCAGCGAGTCCTGCTTCACTCAGATCTATTGCCTTGTGTCTCCTTCAGCCTCCCCATACTACCGGACCAAGCTGAGGGGACTGTACACCACGGCCAAGGCCGACGCTGAGGCAGAGTGCGGGTGAGTAGCCACAAACTCGTAACAGGGCAAACTTAGATTAATGTAGTGGCTTTCAAAGTGAACACCGGGGAATCCTCTGGGACAAGAGTCTTTTACAAGTTGATACAGTCCCTTAGAATAATCAGCACTTTCTTGACGTCTTGAGTCAGGGTAGGGGTAGTCACTTCATTGTGTCATCAGGTGGGCACCCTCCTTCCTCGGTGTTTTGGTGATAAGCCTAACACTGACACCTGGGAGTCCCAGGAGCGCCCCCCTCCGCTTTTAGCCCTCTTGGCCCAGATTGGACCCTTTCGTTTTAGCCACAGCCAGTTGCTGCTTCGCTCAGCAGCCTCTGACTCCTAACCAACAGCCTCGTTGTTGATGTGGCCGTAAAACCTCTGAAACCAACCTCTGTGGGGACCAACTGGGTTCGTCCTGCCTTGGCTGCTAGGTCGTAGTACCTCAGCCTTTTACGTTTAAACGCTTGACCAACTGCAGCCTCCCGTGGCACAGTTAGCTCCACGATGAACAGGGACTTTTGCAAAACCCTCACGTCCTTCATCCGTCTGGGTCGATGGTCTGGTATCTAGGATGGCAGTTGCTAAAGATTCATGACGTTTTGATTCGGTGAGCCTGTGGTTTTCCCTCTAGCGCCACCATCAAGGCATCAAATCATCAGTTAGTCGGGAAGTTTCCAGACGGCGTTCCTGCTCTGGTTAGGGTTCAAACCTCTAAATGCTCTTTGCTCACTCATTTCTTTTATTCCTCACAGCATCCTGCGTCACGCTCTCGATAAAATTGCAGAGATCAAGTCTTTGTTGGAGGAGAGGAGAATAGGTATGTGACTTATAAAGTTACGCTTGATTAAATTCAACCTTTTTGCTCTTTAATGTCTGCAGCAGCAGTTCTGTAACTTGTGTTTTTTTTAATTGTTTTTTGCAGCTGCTAAGATGGCAGGAGTTTACAGCGACAGCGACCCCCCCAGGAAGACGATGAGGCGAGGCGTCCTGATGACGCTCCTGCAGCAGTCGGCCATGACGCTCCCTCTGTGGATCGGCAAGCCGGGGGAGAGGTAGCTGCAGCCGAACACACTGTAGAGACCAGATTATTATGATCCATCTCACAGGGAGAAGTTACTGCTGGTTTTACTGGACTGCAGCTACGTGCACCTCATAAACTGGCAACTGGTCATCCTGTTATTCCAGAAAACTAGATATAAGACCTTAAGAGACCTGAACAGAAAGCAGGACACTGTGATCTGCTAAAATAACGTGCTGCATGTTGCGGATGTTTTCTCTCCCTGTGCGCTTCCCATCAGCCCCCCTCCTCTGTGCGGGGCGACTCCGGCCAGCAGCGACTACGTGGCCAAACAGGGCGACAAGGTGGCCGCGAGGGTGAAGGCCGTGGACGGAGACGAGCAGTGGATCCTGGCTGAGGTGGTCAGCTACAACCACTCCACCAACAAGTGAGCGCGCCACAGAGCGGAATATTCCAAATGTCAGGATGTGAAACGAAGAAAACTGACTTCATGACTTTTTTTCTTCTGTTCCCCTCCAGATATGAAGTGGACGACATTGATGAAGAAGGCAAAGAGTGAGTTCTCTTTAGTAGCTTCAGATTTACTGTCTGCTAACGCTGGAGGGAAAGACGTTGAGAAAAAAATATTGTTCACAAGTCCCAAATCTTGAGTCGAGTCTAAAGTGTCAAGTCGACTCGAGTCCACGTCTTTCATGGAGGATGTTATCAGCCAAACTGCTTTACGTGTATTAAAAGTGTGTTTTATTTGCTTTGTGTGAGCAGGAGACACACTCTGAGCAGGCGGCGGATCATCCCTCTGCCGCAGTGGAAGGCCAACCCAGAGACGGACCCAGAGGCCCTGTTCAGCAAGGACCAGCTGGTGCTGGCCCTCTACCCGCAGACCACCTGCTTCTACCGGGCCCTCATCCACACCCCGCCACACAGGGTGAGTTGATCCTACAGTCTCTTGTTTCTGAAGCCGTGTGCCTCCCAGACTAACGGCAGCGTGCGTGCGTTCGCAGCCTCAGGACGACTACTCGGTGCTGTTCGAGGACACGTCGTACGCCGACGGTTACTCCCCTCCGCTCAACGTGGCCCAGAGATACGTGGTCGCCTGCAAGGAGAACAAGAAGAAGTGACCCGACGGCTGGAGAGGAAGACCAGAGCGCGCCGAGGGACAAAGATGAAGCCTGTTTGGAAACATTTAAGTTCTGTGAAAACGCCACTGATTTCCATTTTTGTATTAAAAAGAACATTTGTAAAGAAGGTGATAAGTGGCTGTCAGACAAGCAAAAAAAAACCTATAACAGATCATTTTTTAATAATTAACACAGAGAAGAAGTGGAATGACCTACACAGACCTGAACACCTGAACGTCTCACAAGGGGGGGGGGCTGTGACATAAAACCCATTGATCCGAGTCTGTAATGACCAAACAAAGTACTGTAAAATACTCCCAGCATGGAGACCAAACTAGCCCTGATTTCTGAGTGTGGTGTTGATGTACACAATTGTCCCACAATGCATTGCACGGCGGAAATATGGGAGCTGTTCACAGCCGGAAACGGAAATCAAACTAACTCAGAAAGTCACGTTTTGGAGTCTTTTGCGCGGCTCGTCTGCTGTTGGTGTAAACAGGCTTCGGATGGAGATCTGTTGTACTGCACAGTGTACTGTAAAGATCAGTGTACTGTGTGTACTTTGTTCTCAGTTTGTCTTCTAAAGGGTTTTGCAGCAGGATGCAGAGGAGCCTTCAGGTGCTGTGGTGGTTTGGTCATTCTGCCTTCAGGGTCCCGTCTGACGGCCTAAATAGTGTTTGTTTGTTTTTTAAATGTGAAGAGAGTTCATGATTGTTGTGTGAAACAAAAACCTAAAGACCAGAGTGGAAAAACATTTTCCATGCTGCTTCTCTTTGTCTCTTATTTCCACACACAGCTTCAGCACCGAGGTCAGCCGGATTACAAGCAGCGGTGATAACTTACTAAGTACTTAAGTACACATTTGAGGTACTTATATTATCTTTCCACGCCTCTTTGGTGACAGCAGAATCTTTACAAATCAAACAGTCGATTCATGGAGGGTCTAATCAGCAGAGTCCGAAACAGAAGGAATGAGGTCAGTTCAGTCTAACCTGTGAGAATCCAGCAAAGCAAACAACAGAGAGCTCTGATGTACTGAGCTGCTTACTGATTAGGCCCGTCTGTCTGTCCATCAGGACATTTGAAATAACTTGTTTTCATAGTTTTTATCCTCAAGTCAATCCGTTGTTTTGTGTCAAACATAATCACTTTTCTGTCATAGACGAGGAAGCAAACCAGAAAATATTCACATTTAAGAAGCTGGAATCAGATGATTTTTTCTTAAAAACTTAAAAAGTAACTCACTGATAGATTATCAAAATAATCACAGATTAATTGAACGGTTGGCAACTAAGTGATTAAATACAAGGTGTTAGAAGCCTTTACTTCAGCTCTAACATCTGTTACACTTCAGTACAAGTGGAGGAAGAAGTATTCAGATCTAAAGTAAAAGCACCGAGCGCTGACAAGATCTGTGGTGAAGGAACCAGAACCCGAGACTCAATGAGAAGAATCGGAATCGATAAAATTGAAACGCTACCCAACCCTACTTCAGGAGCAATTTGGGGTTTCAGTATCTTTCTTAATGACACTTGGAGGAGCAAGAAATGGAGACACAAACGGCCAACCAGCCCTACAAAGCTTCCCTGCGCAGCGAGTTTTCAGACGAACCAACACGTTCATCAGACCTGAAACTTTGCACTTGAAGACTTTTTTCCGCTGCAGCCCACTAGATGGAGCTCACAGATTTAGAAAGGTGCCGTCTCTGTTGACGGGGATGCTGGGACCAGTGTTCATGCATTTTTTAGCCCCTACTGAAAGTGCACACAGTTGCTGAAAGTACGCACAGACCATCTATGTTGCTTGTTTTGAGAGGGGGGGGCGGGTGATTACTGATCATGTAACGTGTTTTATGGTGTTCCAGATTGCTGCTTACATGTTGTGTTGGAACTGACTGAAGAGAAACTTGCAAAGATTTTAAAGTTGCTTAAGTGCAGTGATCAATCACAGAGCTGCTTCTCTTGTTGTCCTCAGTCCTGTGGTGGTAGCTGCTTTGAAGTAAACGCCAATACTGTATAAATTAAGGATTTAGCTCGATCGAGCTTCATTATAAACCTCACACTGCTCCCCTATAAGACGTGTCGACACAATAAGCTGCAGCCGACACCGCCCACTGCAGAAATCTTTATGTTGTTTTGTTTTCAGCTGTGGTTTCTGAGTAATTGCCTTTTTTTCTTGCCTTATTGTCCCTATTATTGATCACAGACTGAAATCAATTTGAAAGGAAACAAATGGCTGCCTGCAGGACAGCAAACACACGTTCATTCATTTCAAACACAACAAACAGAGAAAAGGTCTGCAGTTAAGTTAACGGACGAATGATTCATCAAAAATGTGTTTAAAACACGTGAAGAGTTGTTTTTAAGCTCCGGGGATGTTAAAACTTCTGCTGCACCATTGTACTTTTTACTTCACTACATTTATCTGACAGCTTCATTTATAAAATCTGATGTCTCGTTATAAATTAAACTCCCCAACAGTTAATATACAAGTACAGCTGAAACAACCAGTCGATTGACAAGAAGTGACTGATCGGCTGCTTCTCCTCTGATTGATTATAATAACTCTGATGTTTGTTAGTGACATTGATCTTTGGACTCAACAAGCCAGAAGGAGTCTGTTTGGGCCCCGGGGAACTGTGGCGGCAGAATCTTTACGAACCAAACCATCAGCGGTAACAGAGTATTTTTACAGGGTGGTATTAGTACTTTCACGGAGGTATTATTAATAATGCAGGACTTTTACTTGTAACAGAGTATTTTTACAGGGTGGTATTAGTACTTTCACGGAGGTATTATTAATAATGCAGGACTTTTACTTGTAACAGAGTATTTTTACAGGGTGGTATTAGTACTTTCACGGAGGTATTATTAATAATGCAGGACTTTTACTTGTAACAGAGTATTTTTACAGGGTGGTATTAGTACTTTCACGGAGGTATTATTAATAATGCAGGACTTTTACATGTAACAGAGTATTTTTACAGATAGGTATTAGTACTTTCACGGAGGTATTATTAATAATGCAGGACTTTTACATGTAACAGAGTATTTTTACAGGGTGGTATTAGTACTTTCACGGAGGTATTATTAATAATGCAGGACTTTTACTTGTTACACGGAGGTATTATTAATAATGCAGGACTTTTACTTGTAACAGAGTATTTTTACAGGGTGGTATTAGTACTTTCACGGAGGTATTATTAATAATGCAGGACTTTTACTTGTAACAGAGTATTTTTACAGGGTGGTATTAGTACTTTCACGGAGGTATTATTAATAATGCAGGACTTTTACTTGTTACACGGAGGTATTATTAATAATGCAGGACTTTTACATGTAACAGAGTATTTTTACAGGGTGGTATTAGTACTTTCACGGAGGTATTATTAATAATGCAGGACTTTTACTTGTAACAGAGTATTTTTACTGGGTGGTATTAGTACTTTCACGGAGGTATTATTAATAATGCAGGACTTTTACATGTAACAGAGTATTTTTACAGGGTGGTATTAGTACTTTCACGGAGGTATTATTAATAATGCAGGACTTTTACATGTAACAGAGTATTTTTACAGGGTGGTATTAGTACTTTCACGGAGGTATTATTAATAATGCAGGACTTTTACTTGTTACACGGAGGTATTATTAATAATGCAGGACTTTTACTTGTAACAGAGTATTTTTACAGGGTGGTATTAGTACTTTCACGGAGGTATTATTAATAATGCAGGACTTTTACATGTAACAGAGTATTTTTACAGGGTGGTATTAGTACTTTCACGGAGGTATTATTAATAATGCAGGACTTTTACTTGTAACAGAGTATTTTTACAGGGTGGTATTAGTACTTTCACGGAGGTATTATTAATAATGCAGGACTTTTACTTGTTACACGGAGGTATTATTAATAATGCAGGACTTTTACATGTAACAGAGTATTTTTACAGGGTGGTATTAGTACTTTCACGGAGGTATTATTAATAATGCAGGACTTTTAGTTGTTACAGAGTATTTTACAGCGTGGTATTAGTACTTTTACTGCAGTAACATCTTTAATGCACGACGTTGGGAGTGTCCCTGAGTATCAGCGCCGTGCGGCGTGTCTTCACTGGCTGGAATCACAGAGGACATCAGGACGGACTGCAGCCAAGCAGATGCAGATCAGGCAGAAGAGGTGGCTCCTCTTTAATTCAATTCATCGATAAGATAATTCAGTCATGGCGGGCTAATGAATCCCTCAAGGTTGGCTGTAATTCTCTCCAACTGTCTCCTCTCGTGTATTTTTCACTTAGTCTTCTATAATCTGTCCGTCGGTCTCCAGCTGCACTCCCAGACGCCTGCTGAGGTTTCAGCTGGAGAATAATCAGACTGAAAGCAAAAATGTCTGTCTCACAGGTTTCCCACTGACGCTGTATAATTTACCAATTACTTGCAATGCTTCCTGTAAATGAGTAAAGAGCAATCTGAAATGATTAATCAATTAGTCGACTGACAAATTGGGAACTATTTTTATAACAGATTCATTGTTTAAAGGGGCCATGTGTGGTTTGCAGTGGCCTTCCCAAACCCACTGCAACAGTACAGTCCTCTGTGCTGCACTGTTGTGGGTCATATGTTTAATAGAAAATGTTCACACACTTTAATGACCAACGGAACGTACAGTAATGAAAAAGCTGGTCGCAAAAAAGGCTAAAAGGAGCGTCCCCTCTATCTGCCTAACCACACACTAAAGTAACTCACCTCCAGGCTTCATTTGGTTAATTGCAGTGGGTATTTACGGACAGCTGACGTGAGAGAGCGACCAGCCACTGGCAACTTCCTCACCGCCACAGACATAATCCCAAGTCTCCAACCGCGTTCACCACAAAACTACAAAAATAACAAACCAGCGCAACTCAAAGGAACACCGCTCTTATACCTAACAGGGGAAAATCCCCTCAGCACCAACTCAATTGACCCTTCGCTAAGTCACGCCCCGAATACACAGCTGGCCAATCACTGCGCAGTATAGGACTCGCTCTAACTTAGGTCCAACACACTTGCAAATGGCGTCGTGTTCTATCTTTTTTTGGCTGTATTTTTCTTAGATCTGGTCAAACGCTGTTCCCGTGGCATCTTGTAATAGTTACAGCAGCTACCCAGAGAGGCTGAAAGGAGAAGGACGATTTATTCTTTTTACAAAACCTAAAACAAATCCAGAAACATGTCGGCTGTGGATTGTTCCTAATGTGATGTTAGTTAGCTAACGCTAGCTAACTGCCTACTGAATGTAACGTAATAAAGCCCTGCTGTTCTGCTTTTAATGATTGTAATGATGAATAGAGGCCGACTAGCTGTACAGGAACACTGTTGATCCTTAATATCGTTGTCTTTTGTCTCAATCGTCGGGGGGGGGGTTCACTTGTACTGTGTGATCGGCGGGCTTTAGCTTCTATCTTTCATTTTTTTCACATCAGTCTGACGGCCTGAATAAAACCTTTAAATGTACAATGCAACTGCAAAACTGTCTGCTTCTTTCTGACATCGCTTTTTCCAACAAATTTGACAATATTTCTCCGGGGAGCGCAGTGACAGACAGCGGTAGCGTGACAGTTTGTCGGACTAGGCAACAGCAACTAAGGGGGGCGGGGCTTAGCGAAGGGTCAATTACACACCAACATGTCAACACTTACCTTCCCTTGGACTAACAGCCTTTCCACTTCACAACTCCACCCGGGACCCTCCACTCTCCCAGGCGTTTTCCTCGACCTCAATTAC